AATGTTGTTACATCAAAAAATTAATACACTATTTTTCAATTACAGATTTAAGTAAATTGAGTCAAAAATAAATTAAACTATTTTTTCGTATCTTTTTCAAGCATTTTCCACAATTTTCAACCAGAAACTTGATTATCTCGTCAAATTTTGCCAAAAAAAAACGAAAACCACCAAATTTTGTATTTGTCAAAAATCTTGTAATTACATTTTTCAGCTACAAATATATTTACTTTGCAAAATTTCGTTAAAAACAAGCCAAAAATTGTATTACTTCTGCCATTTAGCAAATATTTCGAATAAAAACAAAACAAAAAATATCGATTAAATAGGCTAAAATTGAAATATTTTCTACTTTGTTTCGCTTGATTTAGTTCGTTTTTGAATCAGAGGCTTATTTGTTTTGTCCAAACTTGGCGAAAAATCAAAGAATTGAAATTGGTGTTATTTTTTTACTGAATTTTCAGCCGAGAAACCACAAAATTTAGCCGAAAATGCTTTTAAGTACGTTTTTGTACTAAACTTTAAGGTTTAATATTTAAGAATTTGTGAGCGAAAAGTTCAACTTTTGCTTAGATTTTGACGAAAATCAGACACAGTAAAATGATTTAATAAGTAAAAAAATATTATTATTATTATTGTTAATTATTACTTAATCCATTATACAAGTTGTATAAAATTGTTTAAAGCACGACCAGAGTAGCGGAGAGTGCTTTAAAGTAGCAAATGCGACAAACCTATAAAACGAGTGGTATACAATATTTTTTTCTTCTTTGCTCCGTTAGTTTATGAAATCTTTTTTCCCTAGAGAATAAAAGAAATTTCTGTCCAAAGGGCCGTTAACTTAAAAAAATATGTACAACTAATTTCAATTTTAAAAAATATTAACCAAAAATTCCAGTAATTCCAAAAAAAAATCCACCGAAATTCCAGTAATTCCATCGTAATTGCATTGTTTTTAGATTAATTTTGATAACTTTAAATTAATTCATGTAATTCCAACTTAGTTTTCAAATTACAACAAATTAACTTCGATAG